TATTTGATCATTTAATAAATTACATTTATCCAAGAAAAGCTGTGTCACAGTTTGGTCCTAAATATAAATAAGTTTAGCAAATCAAGAACCTTGTTTTTTTATAAGATTGTGGATGAAATTTGTGAATCTTTATGATAAATTAAAATAACATTTAAAACTCTTTCACCTAGAGAACATGGCAAGTTGTTTTAATTTTTTTAATCTATATAATGTTTTTGACTGGGGTGTTAAACAGAGAATCATCTTTGCTTTAATATGGGACAAACAAATGTTCTGTTAGTTAATGTGGTTTAATTAGAAGAACTCAGTGAATCTCACAGACAGCCTGCGTGCAGTGACACGCTCATACAGCAGTCTCTCAGGAGGAGAGTTTAGTCACTCACACAGAGTTGGACAGATCTGTTCAATAACAACATTCTGAACATAGATTTAATATAAAGTTAGGATTTACAGACCAAAGTCTCTGCTAGCTCAGGACCAAAGTGCAGGAGATGTATGGACTGATCTCTGCAGCAGCTCCAGTTGAGCCGCTGCTTCAACTAAACATGCTATCACTGAAAGTCCCGCCCTGCTCTGCTCTGATTGGACAAAACAGCTCTGGACTTCGTCTGATTTGTTGAAGGCAGTGTCCGTTTAATCCTTATATCAGGGTCCCGCTGTGGCGCACCGAACAACGATCTGTTCACAGCAGTGTGGCTGGATTATTTTTATTTTAATTTTTTAAGAAATCAGGTCGCCTTTGCGACCACATTGGTCGCACTCTAGAGCCCTGCTAGCTGTTGTTTAGACAGACAATCAGGTACAATCTTAGGTACGCAAGGGAGCTTTATGATGTCACATCTGGTATGCTTTTTCCTTTTTAGCCCAAGCAAGTGCACCTGCGCACTGCTTATGTGCCATTCTGATTATAGCTGCATCTGCAACTGTATTTGATAATGTTTAGAACTTTTAAAATATTACATGGTAAAACCAGAAGCTGCTCTTCATATTAGTGACAAACTTTGGTGTTTTTTGATGAGTTACTTTCATTTTTGTTTCTACTTTTCATTTAAAAAAGTTTCCATTCTCAGCAGGTTTCTAAGGTTCTTCTTCCACATATTAAAAAGTTGTTAAACATCTGAGTGGTGCACTACTGCTACTAGTGGTGAGAAAGTGTATTACACCTTATTCAAAATCAATGTGGTCCCACGGCCCTCTGAGGCCCAAAGTTAAAAACTGTTGTTCTTTTGAGGCCCTCAAGGTGGCGCTCACAGCCGGCCATGGGTTAAGAATCTCTGTACTACATTACACAAGTATATTTTACATCACACAAGTACATTCTACATCAGTGGTTCCCAACCTTTTTAGACTAGTGTACCCCCTGAGCCATTTTGTCACACTAGTACCTCCTCTGTCAAATGTAATGATGATTCTCCAATACTATAATGCACAACAGCTTATTATTAAACGAAATTATTTATTTATAAGGATCCCTGATTAGTTGTAACATTAGACTTTATTTCAAAAACATATATTTTAATTGTAAAATAAAGACTGTAAAAATACTGTAGCATGTTTATTTTTGTAAATTTTTAAAAATATATTTTAACACGGACAGAGCCATTTTATTTGCACACAAAGCATTCTGGGTAAATGATGACGTGGATAGGTCCTTGGTGCGAGGCTGCTAGCGAGCTATATCCACCCTGAAGGTTAATCTTGGACAATATCTGATGATCGACTCTTTTAAATGAAACCAGAGAGCGTTGACAGAGAGGAGAAGGTAGAAATGACTCAGCCTGGAACTGAAAATATGGATGGAGGACAACAGGTTAGCTTGTTTGTCGCGCTAGCTAGTCATGTGGATGGAGGACCTCAGTGACGAGAGGAGAATGTGTAGCTCTGAGCTAATACATATATATGGTGATAGCATCGTGGCTAATGCTAAAGCTACCAGGCTAAGCTGGTACTGATTAAATCTGCTATAAATGTGCTCCTGCAGTGTTTGACACAGTGACTTGCAGCCATTGAACATGTGATGTGTCCTTTCACAATAAGAGACCATAAACTGACAATGAATGAACTTTTTCTGCTAGAGATGATAGAGGGTGTTTCAGAGTATGTTTGCTGTGTGAGCTCAAACTGAGGAGAACTCCAGTCACACTGTGAAAACCCTGCAGATCCTGTGTAGAGACTACAGTTTATTCCACCTGTCCCATAGACTGGAGAAAACTAGGCCCTTGTTCTACACTTTGCTTCATACAGAGGATCAGAAACCTCAGCTACTGAGAAGCTGGAGGCCTGGACTCTGTTGAAGGTTAAAGTGACTGAATCTGCTTTACTTGCTAACATTTGGTTGTGGTATATGTAGTGCAGGTTTACTTGTGGTTCCTGGAGTTTCTAAAAGTAGAATGGGAGGCAGAGCTTTCAGTTATCAAGCTCCTCTCTTGTGGAACCAACTTCCWSTTTCTGTCCGTGYGGCRGACACTCTGTCTACTTTTAAGATTAGACTGAAGACTTTCCTTTTTCATAAATCCTATAGTTAGACTTAGGTTTCCTGGATTATTCCTTAGTTATGTTATAGCCAGTAAAGCTATAGGATTATTGACCCTTTGCACCCATGTGACATGTGATGAGCTGATGACATTACAGTGTGACTGCCCACTTGAAGCATTAAACAACAACAAACAGATTTATTGACTTATTAACTAATTTATTAGAGGTAATGATGCACAGCAGGTAGTAGTTAGTTAAAAGAAAAAAAGCTAAAGTGAGTTAATTTGAATGTTCGATAAATGACACAAGGCAGATGTCCATCACACAGTTAATGTGTCACATTCACTTCAGCCCAGCTCAGGTCAGCTCCATGCCATGCCCCGTTTGGTTCTGGAATTGCCCGGTCCATTTCTAAACGCTCACATCTGAGTGAGAAGTGTCTGGCTTCATCTGTGATTTATCAACGAGCAGAGAGAGCAGGGGGTTGGTGTTGGACTGGTTTAAGTCTTATTTTACTGGACATATTTTCTCTGTTCATTTCTATGGCTTCAGATCTTCATCTGCCCCCTTTTTGTGTGGAGTTCCTCAGGGATCAATCTTGGGTCCTCTTATTTTCTTTTGCCTTGATGAAGTTAGGGCCTAGAAGGTGTTGAACTCTATAAGCTGGTATCAGTGGGTCTATGATTTCTTCTTTACAGATGGTGAAAATGCTGCTGCACGTCTTTTAACCAGTACAAGGAAATTTGATCACAACAGTTTTAAAACCCCAGCATTAGTTACCACTCCATTTTAAAATGATTTTAATTTGATTTTAAATCACTAAACAATCTTGCCTACCTCTACTTTTCTGTGTTTTTACATTCATACACATCTTACAGGTTCCTCAGATCTTCTGATCCTTCATGTGCCTAAAACCAGGTGTAAGCTCAGAGGGAATCAGGCTTGTAACATGTTGGGTCCTGGCCTACGCATTAGCTGATTTTAAATAATCTCTTAAAACATTTATTCACTGGCTTTTGCTACATCTTAGGATGTTGATCTTTATGTTTTCCATCAGTTTTTCCTTTGTTTTTATGTTTTTTTCATTTTCATTGTTGTGTGTTTTTACTGTATTTTATGTTTTATTTATTTTTTGTTTCTTTGGAGGAGTTTTGAAGGGCTTTATAAATGAATTGGACTGTTTAACCATGATTTTTCAATGTGACCTGCTTCAGATATTACATCTTTCCACCATCTGTGTTGTGATCTGTCAGAGCAGGTGATATTTTAACCATCTGTAGACTTTAACCCCCGTTGTAGTAAATCTGGTTTTTATACG